ACAAGAAAAACAGATAAAAATAGTGCAAGTTAATAAAAGGAAATGATGCGAGAAAGCAGAATATGATAAGAAACAGAATTTGATAGACTAGACAGAATATGAGGATAGAAACAGAAAGTGATTAGAAGACAGAATAGATATAGAACAGAATATGATAGAAATCAGAATATGATAGAACAATCTAAATATGAGTAGAAACAGAATATGAAGAAACAGTGCAGAATAGTCTAGAGTGCCATTGGAATATTGATTTATGGTTGCAAACATATGGCAACGTCAACGTTGCGCAGTAAAAGCCCAAGATGCTCCTGGTGCAATAAAATGTAATAATAGTAGCTACGGATTCTTTATTCTGCGCGTGTCGTGTGTGCGTGCGTGTGCGTGTGTGTGTGTGTGTGTTGTGTGGGTGTTGTTGTGTGTGTTGTGTGTGTGTGTTGTTGATGGTGTGTGTTGTGTGGTGTTGTTGTGTGTGGTTTTGGTGTGTGTGTTGGTGTGGTTGTGTGGTGTGTTGTTGCCGTGCGTGCGTGCGTTGCGTAGCGTAAGCGTGCCTGCCGTGCGTGCGTGCGTGTGTCACCATGTCTGGGACTCTTCCAGGTCAGGACACCAGTTTCGGAACACACGGCTCCAGACGTTCGTCCTCTTCACTTTCTGCAGAGAGGTGTCTGTTTAGCATCTGAGAAATAAACCAAACAACTTATTAAGTAAAAGAGTGCTGTGTGGTTCAGGAGCGTGGAAGATCTGCCTACAGTTATTATTTTGACAGAAATGTAAAAATACCTTCAGGGAAATTTGATTAAATGAAATACAAAAACAAAACATGTTAGTAATAATTCAGAATAGTGATTATTATACAAATTTGTTTGTTATTGAAGTATTTTACATCAAACATCCAAAAATATAAAAGACACTTTTATTTTTGTTTTATTGTGCGTCAAAAAAGGATTTGAATACGCTTTTCAAGATCATGTATTTTCTGAATTCTTTTTTAATTATTTCTGCTAATTTTAATGTTGATTGTCTTGCGATTTGTGTAGATTTCGGTACAATTTTTGTGATTTCTGCAAACGCTATTCCTTCCCGGGAAACAGATTG